CATGTCAATTAGGCAAACATAGTCGTACTTCCTTTCCTTGTAGTTTCACACGTGGTGCTTCGTCCCCTTTTACTGTGGTTCACTCTGACATTTGGGGACCTAGCTGCGTTATGTCTACTTTAGGTTTTCAATACTTTGTTACTTTCATTGATGATTATTCCAAATGCACTTGGTTATTTTTTATGAAAAATCGTTATGAATTATTTCATATCTTTCAAACATTTTTTAATGAAATTCAAACTCAGTTCGGTGTTTCTATTAGAGTTTTGCGTAGTGATAATGGTCGTGAATATTTTTCTCATTCTTTTAAACAATTCATGACTTCTCACGGTATTTTGCATCAAACTTCTTGTGCTTATACACCTCAACAAAATGGTGTAGTTGAACGTAAAAATAGAAATCTTATTGAAACAACTCGCACACTTTTAATTCATGGAGATGTTCCTTAACATTTTTGGGGTGATGCTCTTCTTACTGCATGTTATCTCATTAATCGCATGCCTTCTTCAGTTTTAGATAATAAAATACCTCATTCCATTTTATTCCCTCATGAACCACTTCATCCTTTACCTCTGAGAGTTTTCGGGTCTACATGTTTTGTTCATAATTTCAGTTCTGGTCTTGACAAGTTTTCTCCTAGATCACATAAATGTGTTTTCTTAGGGTTTACAAGATCACAAAAAGGATACAAATGTTTTTCTCCTTCTCTTAACCGTTATTTTGTGTTTGCAGCTGTCACATTTGATGAGTTGTCTCTTTATTTTAAGAGTCAATCTTCACCTCTGTCTCCATCCAATCTTGTCAACACTCCTAGTACATTTAATGTTCCTATTGTTTGTGACCCTCTAACTGTGTCTTCTTCACCATTAGTTCCTGCTCTGCAGTCAGCTTCTTCTCCACTGCCTCTTCAGATTTATAGTTCCCGAAACTAATCACAACCACCACCATGTTACTCCACTCAAGTGCCAACTACTCTGTCTCCTCCAGATCTGACACATGAGTCTGACCTTCCCATTGCCCTCCGAAAAGATAATTGTTGTACACGTAATCTCTCTCCCCATTATATTGCTTTGAGTTATCATCGACTGTCATTACCTTTTTATACATGTCTTTCCTCTATTTCTTCTATCATCATTCCAAAAACTGTTCGTGAAGCTTTAGCACATCTTGGTTGGTGTCAGACCATGTTAGATGAACTAAGTATTCTTCATAATAGTGGAATTTGGGAATTGGTCCCGTTACCGTCTGGGAAATCTGTTGTTGGTTGCAAGTGAGTGTTTGTTATCAAAGTTGGACCTGATGGTACTATTGATCGCCTCAAAGCTTGTCTTGTGGCCAAAGGTTATACTCAAATTTTTGGGTTGGATTATGGAGATAATTTTTTCCCTGTGGCAAAGATGACTTCTGTTTGTTTATTTATCGCCATGGTCGCTCTTCAACAATGGCCTCTTTATCAACTGGATGTTAAAAATGTTTTCCTCAATGGTGATTTGCAAGAAGAAATATATATGGAGCAACCTCCTGGGTGTGTTGCTCAGGGGGAATCTTCTGGGATGGTATGTCATCTTCGCAAATCCCTATATGGCCTAAAACAGTCTCCTAGGACTTGGTTTGGAAAGTTTAGCAAGGTTGTTCAACAATTTGGTATGACTCGGTGTGAAACAGATCATTCTGTCTTTTATCGACACTCGAGTTGTTGGATGTGTTTACTTGATAGTATATGTTGATGACATCGTTCTTATAGGTAGTGACAACCATGACATCTCTCAGTTGAAATAACATCTCTATCACCATTTTCAGACCAAAGATCTTGACAAACTTAGATATTTCTTGGGTATTGAGGTGGCACAGTCCAATGATGGTATTGTTATATATCAGAGGAAGTATGTTATAGATATTTTGGAGGAAACTGGATTGATGAGTTCAAAATCTGTTGATACACCCATGGATCCCAATACTAAACTTCTACCAAATCAGGGGGAGCCTATATCTGATCCTGAGCAGTATAGAAGATTGGTTGGAAAATTGAATTATCTTACAGTTACTTGTCCTGACATTTCTTTTGCAGTCAGTATGGTAAGTCAATTTCTTAATTCACCATGTGAAGATCATTGGAATGCAGTCATTCGTATATTGAAATATATTAAAGGATCTCCTGGGAAAGGATTGTATATGGTTCTAATAACCATACAAGAGTTGTTTGCTACTCAGATGTTGATTGGACATGATCTCCTTTGGATAGAAGATCTACATCTGGATATTGTGTCTCCATTGGTGGTAACTTGATCTCATGGAAAAGTAAGAAACAAAGTGTTGTGGCAAGATCCAGTGCAGAAGCAGAATATAGAGCTATGACCTCAGCTGCCTGTGAACTTGTTTGGCTCAAGCAATTGCTTAGAGAGTTACAATTTGGAGATGTCACTCAAATGACACTTGTGTGTGACAATTAGGCTGCTCTTCATATTAGTTCTAATCCTATCTTTCATGAGAGGATCAAACACATTGAGATTGATTGTCATTTCATTCGAGAAAAGATTATGTCTGGAGATATCAAGACTGAGTTTGTTAACTCAAGTGATCAGTTAGCAGATATTTTCACTAAGTCTTTACGGGGGCCTAGAATTGATTATATTTTTAACAAGCTTGACACATACGATTTGTATGATCCAACTTGAGGGGGAGTGTTAGATATTGTTTAGATATAGTTTGATATTGTTAAGATATTGTTAACCACAATATCAAACAATATCTTATGTTTATTCTGTTTACTTTCGGTTACTCTTTTAGTTGTACCTCTCATTATAAATAGATTAACCTATGTGTGATTTATACACAAGGGGAATTAATTTCAAATCTTATTTCCTCTATATTCAACAACTATGTAGATTTGAAATCTGCTCAACAGTTTCAATTTCAATCAGTTTTTTTTGTTAAAAAAATAAATTATTTTTTTCCTTTTATAATGTTAATGACTATGTGTCTCTTTAATTTAATAAAATTAATTATTATATATCCTTATATTTAAAATGTTAAGTTAAATACTTAACTTATGATATTATATGATGTTTCTTTCAAATTATGTTAAGTGAAATATACATGCTATTTTTTAGTGTAATTGTGATCATATGTTCTAACATGAAAAACACCAAAAAGTATTTTCATATATGTGATATAATGTATATATAAACTATCATGACTCTACTTGATCATTAGAATTACATAAAAAAAATGATTATATAGTGAAAGTTGAAGAAAGTTTCTAATAAGATAGTTTATGGTGTGAAAATAAACTATGTCTTAATAAGTCATTTAAAAATTTACTTCGATGACACATAAATGTATATACCAAACTAAGCATCTTTATGTTAAACACTTAGTATGTATTAGGTGTATATATTTGATGTCTAATTGAATATTTAATCTTTCAAAATTCATCTAAAATTTATATAATGTGAATGTAAATTTGTACCAACATCATGTGATCGATAAGTGAGATGAATTGATTACATAAGAAAAGTTGAATTTGAGTTATATTATTTTATACTATATTTAAACTTTGCATGTTTACTTGATGTTCTATCTTATTTGTGTGTTTCCTGTTGTTTCAAATTATGATAAGTGTATGTTTATTAGAGGAAAAATAATATAATTATTAGAGCTTAAAAGAATAAATTCTTGAATATATATTTTAGATTTCTAAAAAATTATATTTTATATTTATGATATATATATTTTTGGATTACTAGATTTTAATCTTAATGTACAATCTTTAAAATGCTAAGTAAAATTTATCTTTTATTTTTCTTTTAATAATCATTTGTATATTTAATGTAAATTACAATTTACACGTTTACATAAATTATTATATAATTACGGTATTAAATAATTTTACATTCACATATAATTATAAATTATTATTAATATGATTTTTAAAATATTTATTATGAAAATCAATTAGTTTACTGTGCATGATTTGTAATTAAATGATCATTTAAAATTATTTTACATAGTTTTATACTTTTCCATTAAATTCTACATATTTAAATAGTTTTAATAAAATATTAGAAGTTTTAATATATTTTAAAATATTGATTTTTATATTTTGTAAAATTTATTTTTATTTTGATATTTTTAAATTATCTAATTCAATTTTATATTATTTGACATTTTTATATGTAAATTTAATATACTTAAAATATTTTACATTTATAAATGAGAGTTTTGATGTTTTACATTAAAATTTAGCTTTCACTTTTAATATTAAAAACTAATCCCTTTAACTGCAGAAATGAAAATAAATTTAAAATAAAATCCAAATAGGTATTTGTCGTTATCCAGGATTTGTATAAGAAAATTGTCATGGATAAAAGTTTCGTACACTGTCTGGAGCTTTTATTGCATTAAATTTCAATCGTACTAAATAAATGCTGAATAAAATATTGTATTATGTGGCAGATGATTATTTCTTTTATATATACACATATTTTGTCTTTCAAAGTTATATTTTAAAAATTGAGTATTTCATGTAATAAAAAATTTAAAATTTTAGTTGTTATGTAAAAAATATTTATATTTAACATTAAGTAGCCGTTGAGTAACACTTCTAATACTTAAAAATTATTGAAAAGAAAGGTTGTGTATTAATTGTGTTTATTATTTAATTACAATTTACTACATATAATAAATTAATTATTTTATAAATTATAATTTCTCTTGTACTTGAACTTTTCTATTTGTAATTTTGTTGTTTATATTTTTGCATTGTATTATTTTAGAATTCCGAATGTAAAAAAATTGTAGTTTTGTTCCTATTCTTACTTTTTTTAGATCAAATAAATAATAAAATATATGGTATCACGAAAATAATTTAATTAATTAATTTATAAAATTACCAAACTTCCAAAATTTTTAAAATATGATAAATATAATAAAAAAACAATATTACAGACTAGCCATTAAAAAGTTATCAGATACGATTAAATTAAGAAAGTGAAGTCCACGCGCTGAATGGGAGAGTGGACGGGACTAAGTGAGGCAACAGCAACCCTACCAACCAGAGGGGAAAACAACGTATGCAGACTAGCTGCATAAAATAATTAAATAAATAAATAAATAAAGTAGAGAGAGAACGCACTTTACCACTTTTATACGCTGCACGCATCTACCTTACAAAACACAAGCAACAAAGAGTGTTCCACACAGAAACACAGCACAACCCACAAAGAATCACATTCATTCATGGCTTCCTTCCCTCACACCTTCGACTCTTTCAATCTTAATATGCCACACAACAACAACACAGAACAAAAATACACGGTTCAGGATTAGGGCTACCCAACTTTTCTTTGTTTTCTCTCCACACTCTATGTGTGTTCTTCAGTGTTCCTCAGAGGTGTCTAGTATACCAAAAACAAAAGAAATTCACCTTCTTTTACTTCTTCCAACCCAAAATTTATTCTTTTTTCCGTCTGACCTTCATTTGGGGGGTTTAGATTTTAATTTTGATTTTAATTAAAATTTTCTTAATTTGTAGACCTGGTTTGTTTTTTTCTGGATTTGTAGCCCAAAAAATTCTTGCTTTCAAATCAGTTGTTCTGGGTGGGCTGTGGGGAACAAAGGTGATACCTTTTGGAAAACTGGAGTCTTTTGGGTGGTTGGTTTTGTGGTCACCATTATTGTTCTTCCCCTTGGCAACTTTCTTAGATGAAGGCCATGCCCTTGCCTTTTGAGGAATTTCAAGGGAAGGGAGTGTTGGATTTCTCTTCAGCCTCAGATTCATTTTCACTGCTTTTGCATCATCCACAACCAAAGTGGACCATAGACAAAGAGGATTATTGCTATGTGGGCAGCACTGAGCCCACCTCAGTTCTTGACTCTAGAAGAAGCCCAAGTCCTCCCACTTCCTCCTCTACAATGTCCTCTTCTCTTGGCAGCAACAGCAAGGGTGGCAGTGGCACTTCAGCCAATACCACAACCACCACCGGTGCTGCAGCCCCAACACCCTCTGACAACAACAACCCTCCTCAGGATTCCAGCCCTGAAAAATGTGGTATCAGGATGGATGACTGGGAAGGTCAAGATCAATCCATTCTCAGGCTAATCATGGGGGATGTTGAAGACCCTTCTGTTGGATTGAGCAAGCTCTTGCAAAGCACTGCCTGTGGCTCTCAGAGTGTTGATTTCAATGCAGGCTTTGGTATTGTGGATCAAGGGTTGAATATGGTGAGTGGTGGTATTGACCCTTCAGGGAATTACCCTACTGGTTTCCCTTTCATTGCGGATAATATTGATGGCCAAAATGGCAAGCCTGGGTCTGCGGCTGGCCAGGTTTCAGAATCTGTAGTTTTCTCTGCTAACAATCCTCTTATGGTGTCATCATCTGTGTCTCCTGGTGTGTTCACTTCTCAGCAGCAGCAGCAGCAGCACGAGTTTGGAGTGGTGGATGAGAAGCCTCAGGTTATCAACCCCCAGTTTATGTTAAATCAGAACCAAGTTCAGTTCTCAGAGAACCCTTCTTTCTTTGTGCCATTGATGTATCCCCAGGTTCAGGAGCAGCAGGTTTTCCCTCAGCATCAAGCGAAGCGCCCTCTCTTTGACACAACCGGGCACAATTATCAGGTTCCAAGGTTGCCCCTTTTGGATTCAGGGCAAGAGGTGTTTGGCAGGAGGCAGCAAACACAGCTTCCATTATTTCCTCCCCATATGCAACAACAACAACAACAACAATCAATTGTTATGCCATCTGCTAAACAGCAGAAGGTGAGTTCCGCCGGAGACGATGCAAGCCACCAGCTTCAGCAGGCTATATTTGATCAGTTATACAAAACTGCTGAGCTGATAGAAGCTGGTAATCCGGTTCATGCGCAAGGGATATTGGCGCGGCTCAATCACCAGCTCTCCCCTATTGGTAAGCCTTTTCAGAGGACTGCTTTCTACATGAAGGAAGCCTTGATGTCACTGCTTCATTCAAACGCTCACAGTTTCATGGCTTTCTCACCAATTAGTTTCATATTCAAAATTGGAGCTTATAAGTCTTTTTCTGAGATATCACCTGTTCTTCAGTTTGCCAATTTCACTTGTAACCAAGCCCTCATTGAATCTGTCGAAAGGTTTGACCGTATTCATGTCATTGATTTTGATATTGGGTTTGGAGTGCAGTGGTCATCTTTTATGCAAGAAATTGCCTTGAGAAGTAGTGCTGCACCTTCTCTCAAAGTCACTGCCATTGTGTCACCCTCCACATGTGATGAGGTTGAACTCAATTTCACCAAAGAAAATTTGATTCAATACGCAAAGGACATCAACGTGTCTTTTGAGTTCAGTGTTTTAAACATTGAATCATTGAACACTCCTTCTCCACTTCTTGGCCAATTCTTTGATAACGAGGCCATTGCTGTGAATATGCCAGTTTCAAGTTTCACAAACTATCCATCATTGTTCCCTTCAGCTCTTCACTTTGTAAAGCAGCTCAGGCCAAAGATTGTTGTCACATTGGACAGAATTTGTGATCGAATTGACTTAGCACTTCCCAATAATGTAGTCCACGTTCTCCAATGTTATTCAGCCTTGCTGGAATCGCTGGACGCGGTGAATGTGAATCTTGATGTCCTACAAAAGATTGAGAGGCATTTCATCCAACCTGCCATCAAGAAAATTATTCTTGGCCACCACCATTCTCAAGAAAAACTACCTCCATGGAGGAACCTCTTTCTACAATCTGGATTTTCTCCATTCACTTTCAGCAACTTCACAGAAGCTCAAGCTGAGTGTTTAGTTCAGAGGGCACCTGTGAGGGGATTTCACGTGGAAAGAAAGCCTTCATCTCTTGTTCTATGCTGGCAGAGGAAAGAACTCATCTCAGTTTCTACTTGGAGATGCTGAGGAGCAGCAGAATCTAATTACCTTATATTTTTAAAGGTGCATGGTAACTTACATTGCAAGCATGTAATTGTTTGTGTAATTTAGGCTTATTGATGAGATCCACACCCAAATGTTTTCTTAACTACATGGGTTGGAATCTATCCTTATATAGTTCTATTACTAGTATGCCACTTTTAATATGGATAGTAATTATGCTTTTCCCATTCCCATCATTTTAGATGGATAACTGTTGCTTTGTTATCTTGAACCCAAAGCAAATTGCTCAGTAAGAAAGGAACAATTTAGCCAAGAATGCAGTCTTTTTTATATGTTCATGATTTACTCTATTCTTTCTTGATTAAACCTGACTTTGATTTTAATATGTAGCATAAGGTTCATGTGCCAACACAATTATGTATTTTGTTATAATTGGAAATTGCTTTTAATCTTATTTAACTTTTATGCTCTATAGATTCAGTAGGGTACAAGTGAGTGTATGAGGTATCTGTGTTCCATTCTCATGAATAAAAAAAATCAGGTTTTTATCCAAACAGTTTACTAGGGAAGGAACAAAGAAAGACAGACCCAAAACAAATTCATGTATAATTAACTTACATTGTTGCTCGTATAATTTAAGAATTTGACATAAAATACAAGACTAGGTAATGATTTAATAGAAGCTCTCCAATTTGAAAATATAAATGTTGGCAGACAGGAGCCATAGAACAGTTTTTGAATCTGGCCATGTTTTGATAAAAGTCCTAGTGCAGTGGATTCAATTTTTCATATACGACTTCTTAAACTATCCTCAAAATACAACTCAGGAACCCATTTAATGCACTTTCGTTGACTCTTTTTTTGTTCTAAGTTTCTATCATAAAATGAATGATCAGAGATTTTTGAATTTTTGTCATGGTCTTACAGAGGAAAATTTGGTGATGTCAACTTGGCAATGATGTTTCATTAGTGTGAGCAAAGTCTGCACGTTGCACCACACAATTGGGCGTTACCCATAGGTCAAGAGACAACAATTGGAATGATTTGAGACCCTTTTTTAAATGGTTATAAAAGTCAACTCTAAAGTTTGAATAATTTCAAATGATATTTTATTTTCTATATAATAATTTAAAGTGTACCCTTATTTAAATTTGGTCAAGAGTGGTTACTTTTAATCATTTATTTGATTTTTTATTTTTTGTTCTGTACAGTTTGATGGAAGACACGACAAGGCAAATGATAGAATTTGATCCAGTTCCTTCCATACAATGTTTGTATAATTGTTTTCTTAGAAAAATATAAAAAAAATATTTTTAATTCCCCAAACTTTTAATCAAATTTGGTTTTGATTCTTGTAATTTTATATTGATGAATTTATCTTTTATTTCGTCAAAATATTTTTGTTAAGTTATTTTTATGTTGGAACCAAAGATTATATTTAATTGAAGTTTTTTACAAGAATTTTTTATCAATACAAATATTATTTTTAATATAAACCAACATACATGAAGAGTTATTTATGTAAAAAACTTTCTTTAGTTTTAAATAACCTATTTTCACGGGGTCTATATTAAAGAAAATGCTTGTACTAGTGAAAGAATTTTGTAAGAATTTTCTTTCGGAAATGCTTCAAAAATATTATTGTTATAAAGTAAATAAAAAAGCTAAATTCATTTATTTTATATAATTGATAGTTATTCTTTCTTTTGAAAGTGTTTGAGACTAGAATCAAATTTGGGTGGAATTTAAGGATAAAAGTACAATTCTTTGTATGTTTTAAATAAAATTTTCTATGAATTTGGATGGATGATTGAACTTGTGACGTAAACATCATAATAAATTTTTGAAGATTTTGGACGAATGATTATTATTGCCAATGTTTAATATTGTCACGAGTTAAATGATATTATTAATTATTGTAAAGGTTTAAACCATTTTCTCTCTGCCCATGTGTGTTTTAAATTTATTATTTGTTTTTTTAATGATACATTGATATTGTTATTTTACTAATTAATCGTCCATATCTTATTATATATAATACACAATTAAACAAAACACTCAAATGATTGTACTTATACTATTGGATTTTAATTAAGCGAGATATTAGAGAGTTATTAATAATTGTTACAAAGTTTTTTTTTCTAATTATTTTACTAATGATTAATATTTGTTAAAAAATCTCCTTTATTTGTTTAAAACATTTTTTTACAAGGTTCTGCTGACCTTAAATTAAAACCTTAAATATAATTAATTATGTTTTCATATTATTTAATCGACTTGACATTTTATAAAATTGTAACATTATCAAGTTTGTTATGGTGTTTGTACCCAAAAAATAAATGTTATGGTGTTAAAATTATTAAATGATTCTAAACTCATTTAACCATATGTTAAAAATTAAAGTGAAAACCTAATTTGTTCATCAAATAAAATATTGTCATTGTAAAATAAAATTACATGTGAACTTTGTTTGATAAAAAAGTTATTGGAAGCATTACAATTAGTATGAATTTGTATAAGGACTAAGTTTTATTGTGGGAGTGGTCATTTAAGTGCATTTTAAATATTAATTTCTTTAGTTAAATAAGTTATAAATAAAAAATTGTAATTATTTAAATTTTATTTATATAAAATTATAATCTCTTTTGATTTCTAATTTTTTTATTTATCATTAAATATCCAAGTATATTGTAATGCTCATGATAAAAAGAGGAAGATTACCTAATTGAAATTTTCTTTAGAGTAAATTTTACTTTTTGTTTCTTTTTTCGGTGAGTTGCATGTGAAGTTTGGTTTTTGCATCTATTTTAGACATGTTTACGTGTAATAATTTTGGACAAAGATAAATTTTGGTTAGTTAAGGCTCTTAATAATTTACTTGATTTATTAATTAAGACTTTTGTGATTAAATTTGGAGATATTATGAATTTGAGAATTTTGAAAAATTTTCTTCTCGTGGAAGATTAAATTAAGGAAAGGGAAACTAGTTGATATACCCTTAAAATAATATATTAGGATACAATACCTTAATATAGCATAGTTAATTTATCACAAGGTTGATTTGTAGGAATTGGGTTGAAATAATGAGGCCTTTGTATATTACTTAGTTTGGTATTCGATGCAATTGATTAATTTGTGTCTATGGTGTAACCATAAGAATTGATAGGGATGTCAGGTAATCCAGATGTGAATCTAAGTCTCACATTGATTAATAGTGAAAAAGTTGAGCAACATATAAGGAATAAAGACTCAACTTAATTTCTTAAAGTTTTGAGTTGAAGGTGATGTCAAACCCTTATATAAGTTGAACTCATGTCTTATTGGTGTTGTCTCTCCAGTGAATTTCTCTTCAAAGGACCCAACAAGACATTGTTTGAAAACAATGAATAAAACATGAGTTAGATTATGTTAATAATCTATAGCATTGTGGGAAGGGGATTTACTTTCTCAAGTGATTATGCAGAGTTTCATTATTTGTATTTTTTGCTCTAAGTGAAAGTTCATTGCTCAAGAAAAAACTCATTGTTTAAGTGAGTGCTTGTTGCTCAAGTGAAAAGTGTAATAGAGGTAAGAATTCCTCTTTAGAGTTTTCTTGCTCAAACAAATATCTAATAACTTGAGTGACAAGACTTCTAAAGGAGAGATAATTATCTTTACCTCATTTTGAATGTTTTTTACTTTAGCGATAACACTATTAAATTTGAGGAGATGGTCTTTGATAAGTTTGATATAAACATACTTTATCCACTTGTTAAACCTTTTACTTATATACATGTCATGCATTTATGTCAATTCGTATTAAACTTCATTTAAATTTTTGGTAAAAGTATTAGAATTTCAAAAATAAATGACTACTTATGTTTTGTGTATATTTTGTAGGAATTGAAAGCTCGAAGTAAAAAGGAGGAAGCTTCATCACTTGAAACTTTTGTTCAACGACCAAATTTTGTAGTCAATAAGAAATACGTGGAGGAAATTGTGTCAACGTGCCATTTTTGCTTAGTGAAAATATACACTCCCAAAAACTATGAATTTTGTAATAACATAGCATATTCTATCTTTTAACAATAATTTGGTTCACATAACAAAAATGCACTTTATGATCATTATTCAATAGAGAAAAAAGGTAATAAAAAAGAGTTTTTCATACTAGAAAGTAGAGAAGTGACCTTGTGATATTGCAAATAATATATTGGGATGAAAAGTTACCTACAATAAGTTTATAGTCTAACTCCAATGATAATTTTATTTATAAATTATAAGTTCTGTACAATTAAATTTCTCTCACTTAGTCTTATGATAAATTAGACTTGAACTGTAAAATATTTTGAAAGTGTTAGTTTTGACTAATAAACATGCATATTCTCCAAACAAGTGTAAATATCTTGAAAACGATATTTAAACTTTCCAATTTTACTGCTTGAACATTTTTCGAGAGAGTTAATAGCAAGGAGATTCTCTCAACATCTTCCCCTCAAGTATGATTCCTTTTCACATTGGTATATCTCCCCATCGAGCGAAAACATTTCTTAGCTATGAGGACTCGCTTTCGAAACAAGGACATTTCCCTATTATACTCAATGATATGTCCTCGGATGAACCATCGCTCGAAATCACTGTTAGTATTTCCGATGAGGGGTAACAACGGGGATATTATCACAAATGGGTCATGAGTCAACCATATAAGAGAATATGACATCACTCTCAACCCAAAACCTTGAGGCATTAGGTCATGAATCTTTCTCACTTATAAGTTACTCAAGTTTCCCATTTCTACCCAATGTGAGACTTCAAACTCACACTTGAATGCTCAACACTAACTGACTTGGATTTATTGTTAAAGCAAGAACTTCTTGCCTAAGTGGTGAGAAAAACATAGATTTTATTGTATTTTACTCAAGAGAGGAAGCATATCTCCTAGGTGACAATAACTTATTCAAATGAGTACAGTCTAGAGAAAAATGATGTTTAGAAGAGGTTTATTTCATGAGAAGGTGGTTAGTGAAATTCCATAATGATATTTA